GGAGCTGCCCTTTTAGGCTTGGCAGCTTTAGGCTTTGCCGCCTTGGGTTTGGCAGTCTTGGCCTTTTTGGGGCTCTTGGCTGCTTTCTTAGGCGCTGCGGGCTTCTTGGCCTTCTTGGGGCTCTTCTTGGCCTTCTTAGCGGCTGCAGCGGGCTTCTTGGCCTTCTTGGGCGATTTCTTAGCGGCGGGCTTCTTTGCCGCTGCGCTCTTGGGCTTCTTGGCAGCAGCGGGTTTCTTGGCCGCGGGCTTCTTCGCTTTAGGAGCCGCTTTCTTCGCCGGCTTCTTCTTGGTCTCGGTTTGCTGCTTGTTGAGCTTGAAGGAGCCGGAGGCGCCGGTTCCTTTGACCTGCAGCAGGGTGCCTTTAGTCACCAGGCTCTTGATGGCGAGCTTGATGCGGGAGTTCTTCTTCTCCACGTCGTAGCCGCTGGCAGCGAGAGCTTTCTTCAGGGCTGCGAGAGACACGCCGCTCCTCTCCTTGGACGCAGACACGGCTTTAACGATCAGATCACCGACAGCTGGACCTGCTTTTTTGGCTTTAGCTGCAGACTTCTTCTTGGGTGCTTTGGCCGGCGGCGCGGCAGCAGCTGGGGCGGTGTCTGCCATCTCTCTTTCTGTGTGTAAATCTACAGTAAACCAGACGTTCTCTAGGTTAAGCAATGAGCAGAAGTCGAGCGGCGCTGCGCTCTTATTTAACACATGAGAACCTTACAGACTCAACCCGCCCGCTCTGTGTCTGCGCGCCTCAACGAGCCGCTCGCGCTTGTGTTTTCTTCTCCTACATTTAAGAGCAAAACTCGAGTGCTAAAATAGTTTGGCGCAGTAGAAACAAAGTGAGCACCAAGCAGAGGTTCTTGGCTTTCTGTGGAGACTAAAACACGCGGCGAGGAAATGTTTGTTTTGCCCCGGTCAGATCAAACTCAAGGCGAGCATCAGCCACTGAACAAAGCCGCGTGTGCATTTAATGCCTCGTTTAAGTGGAAAAGCTGATAAAACATTAAACTCGTCCTCTGTGTGTTTCAGAAACAGTTTGAAAGTGAATTTAGTGAAATGAGCATCAGTGAAGAGCGTGTGCAGTGTTTCATACAGATGTTGTTTTGGGCAGCTTGAAGCACAAACATCCGGACACTTTCTTTCTTTCTTTCTCAGGATAATGGATTATTGTTGCGTTTACAGGTTCAGTTTGAATGAAAATCAGGGCCAGATTGACTCCCATAGATGGCCTGGACCTGATCTATTGCAGATGAGCAAACACTCTAAAATATAGGTCTTGCAGATGTAATGCAGACTCAAATAGACTCTCCGTGATGTACGTGTGCTGCAGGTTTAGGATTAGGATTGGGTTTAGAACTAGTTCTGATGAGAGTTATTGCTCAACATGTCATCTTGGCCAAAGTCACCAAACTTGAACACTGGAATGCAGAGAAACGTGAAACTTCTTTGCAGAGCTTGTCTTTCCAGTCTCCCGTCTCAACTGTTTGCGCACACAAAGTGTCCATTGTTGGGAATTGTGGCAAAGCAGTGCTTTTACTGTTGTTGTTCAGATATGTTTACAGCAAGACATTGTGTGATATATTAATTTTATTGGAATACATGCATCCACACCACAACAGATAACAAATGCATCTTGAATTTACATAACGGGAATAATAAAGAATGTTTCTCACAGCATTTATTTTCACTATAACAAAGTTAAAAGGAAGAACAGTTTAAACAAATCAAACCATGACCAACATTATAAATAATAATTGTAACAAGACTTCACATATTGTATACCCATGTGCTCATTTTAAATCTGGTCATCTCAAACAGTGAAAATAAATAAATAAATAAATAAATAAATAAATATATATATATATATTGCATCAGTTTTATAAATGCTAGACACTATTAATTAGACATTTATAAAATTAAAAGGAATAATACCCAGCCATCTAACAAACAACCCCAAAAAGTGATAAAAGAACACATACATACACATAATATTCACTGGTATTTGTTGATTAGTTAATTGCATTTGATAGATTTAAATTTGAATAACACATTAGTTTTATGCATGTTTGGCATTTACACCGTTCTGACCAATAGCTGTCATGTAAGGAGTTTCAAGCGCTTCAAATCATTTTGCACCTGGTTCAGTTGATTAAAAGCTTCAAAAAGGTTGTTTCTTCCATCTCTGTTTCAGTGAAGTCCGACCAGACCAGCTTCCACATGAAGTCCATTCTTTGCATGTTTTATAGACAATCAGGCTTGTAGCCATCGTTTTGCTCACTAGTGGTAACACACTGTAATTAAAACTGATCTAAATCCCAACATGATCGAACATGAATCCGTTTCAAGCATTCCCCTTTTCTCATCTTGCACAAAAACACAAAAGTTATACTTAATTTCAACATTTTTACTCTCGTCACTAAATGCTATGCAAAGCATCCCGTGCACCATATTAGTCAATATATTGTCTACAAGCCAAAATGTTACTTAATGTAGATTAATAAAATATGTGTTTTGGCTTTTTATACTTTAATTCCACCATAAACAAAAGCTTACACAATGAAAGTAGAAATTCCACTTAAAATAAAACTAAATACATGTTGTTAGTCAATGTTTAATTTAGCTTACTTATAAAAAAAATACCTTAATGTTTATTTGGATGTATTTTTAAAATATGCATCGTTTCAGTTGTTTCACCTTTTTTTTTTTTTTCCTGTGCTGAGAAGAATCACGTGGCAAAAAATAAATTAATTAATAAAATAAATAAATAAAAAGAGATCAGAGAAGAAAGATCCTTTAGGTTGTTTTGGTTCTGTCTGTCTTCATATAATAATTTGCGCCCCTGAAAGCTGCAAAGAAAAGGGAATAAAATGTCTCACAAAATGCAATTGATACAGACATATTTTGAAAACAACCAAACTGCATACTGATAAAAGCTTGGCAAATTTGAATTGTGTTCTAAGAGTCTTCTGAATTATGAAGTACAATATTATGTAACTTACGGTTCTCTTCATATCTGATGGTGTAGGCAACTGGTTCTCTGATGGTGAAGCCCAGGTAGAAAGACACCTGGCCTGGTTTGCACGCACTAGACGGATTGTGAGGAGTGACTGGAATCTGTTTCTCTCTTCTAATAGCAAACACTTTATGTTTTCTGACTTGCCCATTGATGCGTGGAAGATCTTTGATTTCTACATGTTCATCCCCTTCAGTGAGGAGCTCCAGAGCAGTTTGATGTAGTTTTGAGGTGTGAACCAGACTCTCCAAACCTTTTCCTTTCCCAAAGAAGAACAGAGGCACCAGGTAGCGACGGCGGAGGTATTTCTGATACTTCTCCTTTTATGAATGATGCATTTTTTTGAAACACTTTTCAAGGTTTGGAGGGTTTGTGATTCCTGGCTGTACTTCATCGGGCCAAAAGAGCAAAATAATCAAGAGGTAAAACTCTGGGCTTCTGTCTTGCATTTCTCTCAGCCAAAGTTTCTGTAACCTGGCCTGAAGCTCTTCTGCTTGTTCACACGGCTCACCCGACTGACTCAAGACGATGTTGGCAAGAATGTAGAGAACGGTTTGGGTTTCATTATCAGATCGTGGATGTTTAAGTGCACTCTGATGTTCTTTAAGCACATTGATGTCTGATTTTAGGAAATGAAGCAGTCCCCCAAAAGACTTCATCTTTTTCTCAATCAGGGTCGTTTCATCAGTCTGCTCTCCCTGTCTAAAATATTTCTTGTAGCACTCCTCAACATCTTCATGAAAGTAGTCTGGTTCCTCT